CTGAGGCCACTTATTCACAGCCCCCAGCACCCAGGCTGCTGTGGTCCCACTTTACAGACCGCACATGTGACGAAGCCAGTGACTTTTGGAACTGAGTGGGCCTCTGGCCCGGGTCACACTCTTAATCCAGTAGCACACGGGCTTCACCGGGTGTGCGGACAGCGGTGGGCCTTCGTAGTGAGAAAAGTAGGCTGCTGACAGTACTTAAACCCCCAGTTTTACATCAAAATCCAGTGATCTGATCCCTGGAACCCGAAGATCTGGCCACGTGGGGTCCAGGTGGCAATGGCGAGCCCAGGAGCCGGGCCCCTGGGGGCAGACCCCGTCCTCTGCCGCCACCCCAGAGAAAACGCTCCCACGGGAACCATGCTCCCGGCACAGGCACACCCAGAGCAGGGGGCACACCAGCACAGCCCAACATGTGTCCCTCAATATGTGTGTGCACACACACATGCACATACACAAACACATACACACACACACACACACACACACACGTGCGTGCACACGACATCTTTACAAAATGGGCCTCAGCTTTGCTCTCCTCCCATCCGCACGTGCGCCGCTCACAAATCCAATGTGAAATGGTGGCCTCTTTGGGCAGGATCCCCGCGGCCACCCTGCCTGCAAACTTGTCCAAAACAAAACGCTACCCGGACCCTCTGGTTTGAGCCCCCCCACCAGGACCCTCCTCTCAAACCCTTCCTCACGTTTGAACACACCATAATGTTTAAAACCCATGGGGGGGGGGGAGTGGGCAGCACCTGGGCGCACTAGCGGCAGCCCTCGGGCACTGGGCACGTGCCTGCTCCTGCGCTGAGGCCAGCAGCCCCGCAGGACCTTCCCAGCAGCCTCCTCTCCGGCGGCTCCTCCTGTCACTCCGTTCCCCATTCTCTCGAAGGCAGAGTGCACACAGCGGCACAGCTTTCTCTCCATTTCTTTTCCTCCGTGCCCAGGAGAAGTAACCATCCATACCCAAAGGGAAGCTGGCAGGAAAGGCCGAGGAGTGGGGTGCAGGCACGTGGGATTGCGCACACACTGGTATGCATGGATATGTGGGCAGGCACCTGGGGGCACTTGTGCAACAGGAGCAATTAGATCTTCTATCTTGATAAGACTAAGCCCTCCCTGACCCCAGGCCTCGAGGGGTGGTGTAGCTGGCTTAACCCAGACCTCCTGCCCGGCCTGAGGTCCCGCCAAAACTCAACCCCTAATCGCACCTCAAGCCAAGGTCAGCCGAGATCAGCCGTAGAATGCTGTGGGTTGAAAAGCCCTGCTGAGAGGGCCCACCGAGGGCACAGCGGCCCTCGGCACCAAGATCAACCCAAACCCTGAAATACCCACTTTCCACAGATGCCGGAGCCTCTCCTCCCAAGAAACGCAAATGCAGGATGGAAACTGGGCCTTCCTGGAGGGAGCCCCAGCCCTTCCCGCACCATGGACGACGCCAAGCTGGAGAGCCATGGCACAGTCTTCACAGGGACTGACTTCTGAGGGGACAGGGGATCTGGCAGCTCAGATCTGCCCTCCTGCCCACCCCTCCCCACAGAAACCAAGACCCATTATTGCCTGCGCCTCAGCCAGGGGCCCTGTGGGGGACATCGGGTATAGTCTGCAGGTGGTCTGGGTTACACTGGGTTGGGGGAGTGGAAGCTGCTCTTTCTGGCCTCAGTGGGGACCGGCCAGGGGTGCTGCCGAACCTCAGCACGCAGGACCCCCTCCTGCCCTCCCAACGGGATCATCCGGCCCAGGGCGGCCCAGCGCCCAGGCTGAGACACGGGGGCTTCAGTGTTCAGCGGTACAGCGCGTGTCAGGAGAACAATCAGAACACGGCCCCCTGCGTTCTGAACGCTGTGTGGGACTACTGGTTTGGAACCAGCTGGAGAAGGGGAATCAGAGGCTCAAAGACTCCGATGGTGTTAAAAACCCAAACTGCCAAGCAGGTCTGCCCGCAGGGGTGCCAGGGTGCGCCTCCCAGGACCCTCCAGAAATGCTGTCACAAGAGCCAGCGGCTGTACGGCAGACAATTCAGTCCACCCAGAGAGCTGTCGGCTTCCACCTGCCGCAGGAGCAGAAGCGGGTGGAGGAAGCCGGGGTCATTTCTAAAAGACACAGAAAGAAGATCAACAAGAATGCTGAGAAAAAACTGTACCAGGAGAAATCCTCTCAAAGGAAGCGGAGCGAACCCCCTCCCTGGCTGCCTTCGTGGTGGGCTGTCACTTGAGCCTGCGGCTTTCAATCTCAAGACCCCTGCCTTCAAAGAGAGGTGTGTTTTTCTGCGGACTGGGTTTTGGGAACAGAGAACTGCATCAGACTCTCGACTCTCAGAAAAGATGGAGCATCTTTCCAGATGTCTGGCCTCAGAGGGACCCCCCCATCCTCCTCCCTCCATGCCGCAAAAGGGATCCCACGGATTCCTTCCAGCCCCCCAAGTTCAAGGTGGGCCTACTCTGGAGCCCAAGTTCCAAATTCCAGGGACAGTGTGTGCACTCCACAAGAAATGAGCCGGTCGGGGTCTAGCATGGGCGGAGGACCCAGGGCGAAGCTTTCCATCCAGAAATGATGGCGTGGATCCCGGGCCCACGGAGGGAGGACCCAGGACTACCGGACGGAGCAGGACCACTCCTGCCACGGAAGCCTCCAGCCAGAGTTCGGAGGGCAGAGGCCCCATCTTGAAAGATGGTAGCACTTCAACCTCATGGTCACGTTTACCAGGTGAGGAACCTGTGGCCAGGTGGCTTAAAAGTCCTGACCAGGGCAATCCCCTCTCATACAAGAGCCACCTGAATGCTGCCCGGCGGGCCCTCCAGACGCATCGGTAATGTTCCCAGCGCTGTTGTGTGAACTACCCAGTGGCTACTGCTCAGCTTCTTTCCCCTCTTCAATCTTTCCTTCCTCCCTCCCTCCTTCCTCCCTTCCTTCCATCTCTTCGTATAAAAGGACTCCAGACCCTTGGGCTTCCTCAGCAGACCCTTGACTGAAATCTGATTAGCACTTGCAACAAACGGTTACATTATACCTGGTTTTAAAGCTGCTTCCTCCGCCCCGGGCTTTCTTCCCGTGTAAGCAGGGGGCCCTGTGTAAAAAGTACAGGGAGTAATGGGCCGCCCCGGGCCAGCTCTGCACCAAGGATCAGGGTTCTGGATGCTACCCTCAAGGGTCCCTACAGGCCACGGTTTTACTGACCCTTAGTGTCAGTCGAAATATTAGCCAAAGAAGGGGCAGAAATAAGAACAAGTGCCCTTTAAGTCTTGTACCCAAAGGATGGACAAGAGCAGAGTGTCAGACAGAGCCCAGCCCTCAAGGTGACAAGTTCAACACGACATGGATCCCTTGGAGGGCGGGAGGTCCCCCGAGCAGCTTTACAGACGGAGGGGGTAAAAACAGGCAAGGAGGAGACCTAAGCAGCAACCCATTGCAGACTCCAAACATGTGCAAACATATTTTAATAACATCCCCGTGCATTTCATTAGCCTCCTGAGTTCACAAAGGGCCTTTGGGAAGCAATCTGGTTTAAATGCAACTCAATTCCGAAAACGCTGGCTGGCTCGGAGCAGGTCCTCCTGGCACCTTGCAGGCCTGGCACAGGGCAGCTGGGGGAGGGGAGCAAGGCTCTCAATTGCCTGGAGGGAGTGGGGCGAGGTGAATTGAAGGACCCCCCACCCAAGCCCGCCAGCCTGCCCCAGCGGGGCGGCTCATGGGCTATTTTTACCTCTTGAGCCTCACTGTACAGGCTCAGGGGCTGAGAGCTGTAGCAGCCGCCTTTGGAAACTGGCTTATGAGTCACCTAGTGACTGCCCTGGCTCTGTGGCAGCTGCCTTTTGGCTCCTGGTCCCAGCTGGAAGGCTGGCCGAGCAGAGGGCTGCGTGCCCCCTCGCCTGAGGTGTCCAGGGGAGAAGATGGGAAATGAAGTTCAGAGAGACAAGAGGTTCTCCAAAGGTGGCTGGGGGAGGGGTGTTGGCTGGAAACCGGCCCCAGGGGGTGGCAGCCAATACTCCATCCAGCTATACCTCCACCTGGGTGGGCGATAGGAGGAAAGTGCCGGGCAAATCAGGCTGAGCTTCAAACACCCCCATCCCTACCCTCCTCTGCCTCCCTCTGCCAGGGCAAGGCAGTCCCAAACACAAACAGCCTCAAACTTTGACTCATTTGTAACCATCGTCCCAGTCTGACTGAGCCAAGCTGTCCAGACAGGATATTTATAGGTACGTCGGGGACAGACACTCACACAATGACACACATACTCGGGATCCACCGCTGGGCCAAACCCACCATCGGGAGCCCTAGATCCAGACACCTGGGCAACAAACGGTCCCCAGACCCCCAAGAGAGGCGCCCAGCCCCACGCAGACCTGGGAAGGCTCGCAAACACGTACTCCTGGGACAGACTGCGACTCAGACACACAGACACACAGAGACGCACACTCCCATCAACGCACCGCAACCCACTTACAGAGACGGAGACACACACAGAGACGCACACTCCCATCAACGCACCGCAACCCACTTACAGAGACCAAGACACACGGTGCCACGCACACTCCAGACAGCCGCTCCGAGCCCCAGACATCTCGCAGGCCAGACAGTGTCTCACACGCCCGCCACCTCCCTCCCAGCCAAAGTTGATACAGAGCCGGCCTAATTGCTCCAATGCGACTGCCCCTTAGGGAAATAAAATGGAAACTTCACGCATCCACCCCAGCTCTCTCCCGCCGGGCGCCCAGCCGCCCTCTACCACTCGGCCCCGGGTCCGAATCCCCGCGGGCAGGGCGCGGGCGGCGGGGGCCGTGCCAGGCTCGCAGCGCCGCGGGACAAAGCCGGGCCAGCCGCCAGCTGCCGCGAGCCGGGAGGGCGCGCCCGGGGCGCGGCGGGCGCAGCCGGGGCGCGGGGCTCACGGCCCGAAGGGGCGCGCACAGCCCGGGTCCCCGCCCGCAGCTGCGCTTGGACTCGGGGTCTGAGCCCGACGGGGCCTCCGGGGAGGGGGGCGCGGGGTCACTCACTGATCTCCATGCTCTGGAACAAAGAGCGTTTGCAGTTGCACGTGCAGGAGACATTGGGCTGCCCGGCGGCGGCGGCGGCGGCGGCGGTGGCGTTGACCCCCATCAAGCGGTGCATGGACGGCGTGGCGGCGCGGCGCGGGGTGCGAGGTGCGCGGGGGCGGCCGGGGGGGGCTCCGGCCGACGCCCGGCGCTCGGGTCCCGCATGCAGGAGGCGTGCGGCGGGGAAGGCGCGCCCCGGCTCGCCGGGCTCGGGACGCCGCCAAGTTTCCGGGGCGCCGCGGGACTCAGTGCGCGGGGCCGCGGTCCCCCGCCACCCCCGGCCGCCCCTCCACGGCCCCCGGAGCGTCGGCAGCGCCCGCGGGTGGCGTCCGGGAAATGGGCCGGCAGCCGGGGCGCGCGCGGCCGCCGGGGCTGAGCCTCCGCCGCTGGCTTTCCCCGGCCGAGCGCCTCCTCCGCCGCCGCCGCCTCCTCCTCATTCAAGTCCAAGGAGATCGGGTTTCGCTCCGAGACCGCGGTCGGAGGCAGGCAGACGGTCTGACGTCAGCGCTAGACGGGGCTGCCGGTTCCCACCGCGCGGGGGCCGGGGAGGGGGCGCGCGCTGCGCCAATCCCCGCCGAGGTTCCCCCGCACCCCCTCCCCGGGCCGCGGGGCGGGGTGACGGGGAAGGGGGCGGGTTCTTAAAGGGCCAGAGCGAGGCGGCCCGCACAGAACCGGAACCCGCGCAGCTGAGGGGCGTTCGGTCCCCTTTCCTACCGGGTCCGTGTGGGACCCGTGTCCTGCACACCGGCCCGGGGAGAGGGGGACTCGGGTTAGCAGCGCTGCCGGGTGCTTTCCCCGCCCCCTCGGCCCGGCGGGTTCTGGACCTCGAGTTTGGGAGGAAGCCTGGGTCCCCCAAAGGAGCAAGAGGTTCCTGGGGCTCCGGGCAGGGGAAGGAGAAAAGGGGGAGTACTCCAGGTCACCTGATTTCGCAGGAAGCTCCCCACCTCCGGGTTTGCAGCCCCACGAGGCCCCCAGCCCACTTGGTCCCCGGCGCACTTTAACCCAAGCCCAAGGAGGTTTAGGCTGGGCCACCTGGAGCTCCCGCAGGCACGCCCCGGGCAGCGCCGACAATTGCCCCAGAGCCCTTGTCATGTAAATACGAGTCCGGGACCGTCCTGGAGTCCCAGCCCCAGGGCCCCGGGCGAATCCACACCCATTGTCTGCCGGCCGGGGGGGGGGGGGGGGGAGGCGCGGCTCGCGAGGACCCAGGGGTACTTTTGTTTCATTAAGTTTTAATTACTCAAATGCCGAGAATGTCTCCTGGTGTAAAAAGGTGTTGAAATATTATGTAAGAGACCCCCCTGCCCCCCCCCCTCTGGCGCCTTTTGGCAATTTGGGGTGTCCCCTCCTAGACGCTTCCCTAAGTCTGTATTTTACATGGAGGGCCTACCCCTTGCCAGAAGCTTACCCAATATGAACTCAACCTGGCACTCTCTGGGGGAGGCAGGGTGGTTATTATCCCATTTCACAGACCGAAAACTGACCTGGAATCGCTGACTTAATCTAAGCTCACACAAATGGTGGAGCCTGAGCGGGACCCAGGCCCTGGGGCACCTACCCCTCACCTCCCCCCAAACACACACACACACACACACACACACACACACACACCTAGTTCTTTAAATATCCACACACCCCTGTAATGCCTGGAGTTTCAGTTAAGAGCAGGAATTATTTTTGTGTTGGGGGGGGCGTAAGGGGGAAGGGGTTCTAAAGTTATTATTTCCTTTCAATAGACTGGAACCAGCAGAGCGTCACAGAACGCAGAGAAAGGCCTGGGAAGTGGGTGAGTTTTCCCACTGCACTGCTGGCCAGGATGCCTCTTGCTCTCCTACCAGGAGGGGCGATGGACTGGTAGGAGCCTTATGAGGGAGCCGCAAGTGTCAGTACCGCAGAGGTCAAAGGCACTGACCATCATTTGTTTGGAGAAGTCCAAGCCCGAGGCCTGGATGGGAGAGTCCTGAGGGCAGACGCAGCCCCCACCTTGAGGAGGGGTCAACTTCACCTGCTGGTCCGCAGAGGGGCGATGGGGGGGAATAGGTTTTGCTGCAATATGGCCTTTGCAGTTTGGAGAAAGGCTGAGGAGGTCCTGAAAGTTCCTAGGGGACCCTGAAAATGACCCTGGGCCTGAGGCCAAGGAGAACACCACTGCCCCTCCTCCCAGCTATTCTTCCATTCATTCAACCAACAAACTGTCACTGGGCTCAGCTCTGAGAGCCGGGAATCCAGCCATGCCCGGCAGAACCCCTGCCCTCCTCCAAGTTCCTCGCAGACATCTGTCCTCTCTGGTGAGCAGAAACACACACACATTGATTGTTTGGGAAATGAGGCAATCCAGGTTAAACCGCCAGCAGGCAGAAATAACCAGTTAATTCAGTAGATTAAAACACACACACATACACACACACACACACACACACACCAAAAAACAAACCCTACCCACATTGAGCTCTGGCCGATGGGTCTGGGGAAAGAGCACTGGCCATATTTTATTGAGTACTGACAATGCGACACCACTGTTTTGATGATGGTGGCACCTGGAACTGGTTAGTGGTCTCAGCCCTGGTTCCAAAGTTGGTGCTGCCCGGAGGCCTAAGACAGGGTGCCAGGCACGGTGGTCACAGCTGTATCTCCAAAGACGTGTGCCAGGCACCGCCCTGTGTGGTGCTAGGGATCAGAGATGCAGGGGCACACCCACCATCAGGCCACGAGGTGTTACTGGCCCGATGAGAGCCTCACTCGAAGGGGGTTGGGGTATTGGGGAGGTACGGGTGTTGGCCCACCTCTGCTGGGCCAGCCTGAGCCCATGGGAGGGAGACCACAAGTCAGGAAAAGAAGTTTTATTACTGTCGGTAAGTATTATGCTCCCCATTTAGGGCCAGACTGTGCTGGGCACTGGGCACCTTGTCCTTGTGTGGCATCGTGGGGGGGCAGGAGAGACTAGGAGCCCCCATGCAAACTGGTAGCTACTCTAGGTCACTTCAGATATGGCGACCATGAGCTAGCAGCCTGGAGGGGGTCAGGAAATATGTGAAGAGGTGGCTTATTTACTCATATTTACTGAGCATCTGCCTGGGGCAGTACAATCCCTGCTCTCCTGGGACTCATTCTTGTGAGTCTGTAAACACCTAAGTCCAAGTGATGGCTTCAGAGAGGGACAAGAGCTGGGGAGAATACAACAGCCCTGGCTGGACCCAGCTGGAGCCCAAGGGGACAGGGTGGCCTCTCTGGAGAGGTGGGACAGCTGATAGGGAGTCTCATGCCAGGGGGCACAGATGCCCAGGCCAGAGCCCTTCGTGGAAGAGGAACGAAGGGATCCTCATGGTCCTAGGAAGTCTGGGATTGGGGACACATTGCCCAACCTGGCTGGTTATGGGTCATGGGATTGTGAAAAGCACGTGTGTCCCCAGACGACTGCTGGGGACACGCCTTTCTGGGCCTCCAGACAGCACGTGTCCTGTCTGCCCTGAGTGTGGGTTGGATCTGCCACAGGGGAGCCTTTGGAGAGAGAAAGTCCAGTCTAAGCCAGTCGGGAGGCCTTGCTGGGCTCAGAGGCAAGGCCAGCCGGTGCAGTTACCATGCCCCGTGCTCCGTTTAATGTTCTACTGTCACCATCTTGAAATTTTTAATAATTAATCATTTTTGAACAAGGAGACTTGCAGATCCTGCAGTCGGTCCTTCTGGGATGCCGGCCCTCGTCGGCAGCCTGGCAGCAGGCTGGGAAGCTGGGGAGGCCAGCATGGGTTTTGGCCCCCTCTGGGGGTGGTTGGCCATGTCCGACTGCATCTGCTGCGCATTGTGGAAAGTGCTGGGCTGAGTCCACAAAGGGCGGCAGTGGAACAAAGCAGATCTCAGCCTCCTTGGGGCCAGCCATGTCCCCTCACCTCCCACCGCCCCAGGCCTGAGGACAGAGCTGCCTTTTCAGAAGCAATGCCAGCCCTAGGGTTTAGGAACCTCTCTTGCTGACTGCCCAGCACCAGAGATCCAGCCAGCTGACTCATTTTTCCCCAAGTCCTGCCTGTGGTTTAATCGGCCTGTCAATTTTCCCAGACTTGCATCTTTGGACTTCATGTTTTATTTTTTGTCTTGTTTTACTTTTAATCAGTATCAAGAGCTAATAATGTTCGTTGGATACTGCCTGGATGGCAGGCCCTGCATATTTGCATATTCATCAGCTTCATCATTCAACATGTATGCCTCGGATCCTATAGCCAGTCCGCAGTACCTCAGTGCATCCCCACCACAGCCCTGTGAGGTCCCAGCTACTACTATTCCCATGTGACAGATGGGGACACTGAGGCATGAGTTAGATGGAGTGGCATGTGACTGCTGGTACTTTTTCTGCCCTCCTCACCTCTGCTGGGGTCTCCTGACCTTTCTGCTGGCCTCATGCAACTCTGGTCATGGGCTTCCTGGAGGCTCCAGCTGACCGCTGCAGGGAGGGTCAGGTGGAAGTGGGCTCAAGTGAAAGAAGTGAAGACCAACTCAGAGGCAACTCCAATATCGGAACCTTGTGTGAGTGACTTGGCAGGTAATTTTGCCTGGATAATCCTGAATCTCCTCCATGCCAAATGGGGGTGGAAACAGAATCGCACAGTGTGTGTGCGCGTCAGCACAGTGGCCCATGGCACTGAGCATGTGTGTTTGAGTGTTCACTGTCTGTCTGCCCTTGGTTGGCAGCCCCAACGGCCAAGACAGTCTGCCTTGTCCAAATGCATCCCAGTGGGTGGGATGATCGGGGGCTGCCGGACCGTGGGTGCTCGGCAAACCTTGGGGGATTTCATGGACAGCACCCACTCACATGAGCAATTGGGGCTAACTTAATTGCTAATAATTCTGTCTTCCTTTCTTGCTCGCTCCCTCCACCCCATACATCTCCTTTTGTCCTGTCCCTTGAATACCCACCTAATGACAAACTTCTAAGGAAGTATTGGCAAGCCAGGCACCTGGGCCAGCACCTACCAAGAACAGGTACTTGCCTGGTACTGGAGCAGAGCCAGACAGTCTTAACCATGAAGTTGATTTGTGTGTGTGTGTGTGTGTGTGTGTGTGTGTGTGTGTGTGTGTAGGGGTGGT